GACTAAGGTATGTTCAAGTGGATACTCTACCTTTTTGCTGATTGACGGCTATGCCCGATGCTACAAAAAGATGACAATAGTGAAAACGTAACTACATTTTATTCTCGAGAAAGTCAATTTGAAAGTCAATTTCGAACCTGACTGAAGAGGAAAAAGGGGATTAAAAAACGCAAATCGTTATTGTTGGTTTTAGTTGTGAATTGTCATCTCATAACTAATTTAATTTTAGATCCATTATTGTGGAATTGTGATAAAATTTCTCTGACACATTTAATTAACTGCGGCCGATTGGTGCTGGATTAAAATTGTGGTAGAGTGGAATTTACGGCTGGAAATGTGCGTTTTTTAAAAGTGGAGTGAGTTCATTCAAGTGTTATTGCATGTTACACGGTTCAGCATTACGTATTTAATTAAGTAATAAATAATTGTTTGTAATTGAAGTTAAATCAGACCATTTATGTAGTTTAAGGTGGCTTTATCTAAACAGAACAAGCCCTAAGGCTACTAGCTTGGGGCCACACAGGAAGTAATCGATCTTGTTTTAAGGATATCCTCAAGCGTTAGAAGTTACGAGTACATCTGCTATTTCAGAATAATATTTGGGTCATATATGACCACTCTGTTTCAACAGGTCAAGAATTTAATGGAGAAGCTAATTTCGGTGGTTTCTATGTAAATACTTATTTGAAAATTAAAAAAGATATGATGTACTCTTCAGAACTATTAATTTAAGTATGTATTTAAGAAATAATTATACTTTTACTTGTCACATAAACGTTTAAAATGTATGTAAATTCATACAAAATTTTGAAAGTGTGATATGAGCCATATTAAACGATGTAAAAACATTGTTTTAATTTTATATTATTGATTATTGTTTTACAGTAGATAAAAAGTTTTGAAAATCAAAATTGAAAACAAATATTACAAGGCATGTGATGATTGAATACGTGTATATGGTTTTTGTAATGAATAGAAAAAGGCATTTCTCACCAACTGGAAACGGCGATATTACTACTTTACCACACAATTGTGTTTTCAGCTACTAGAGAAAAATGCTGGTAACTACAATTATTTATTTGCTTCAAAATATGGAAAGTAGCAAAGATAAAAAGAGAAATTAATTTTTTTATTGTGACATTAGATTTTTACAGTATTATCAAAATATGGGCTCAGTTTTCTATATTATATTTTTTCTCAAATGTTTATTTTTGTAGTAAAATTAACAGAGAAATTACGATATATTTTTATTATTTTTTACATTTATAAACAATGCGAAATTTTATTGTTTTATTAAAAAAACATTAATCCTTGTGACAAGGATCCCACCGTACTGTATAGGGCCTATAATCCT